TTCTTTACACTAGCAATTTTTTTGTTTTAATATTTCTCGCTGACTCCTTCGCAAACATTAGCTTAAACGAGTCAGTAGATTGATGGAGAAAAGAATTTTGAAAAAAAACAAGCAAACAGAAATAAACGAACTATCAGACCATATATATATGTTTTTAAGCAAAAACAAGATAATGACATATTATCCTTTTTACAATATAATGTCTTATTTGAGTTACAACTATTTAAAAAAAAAAGGTTTTCTATGTGTTAAAGTGTAAGATAAACATTTAGTATATTTACAAAAAAGGCTGTCATTTTCACAAAAAAAAAAAAAGGTGTTTTGGCTTTAAAGCATCCGAGCAAAACGCATTCTGCTTAGCTATATGTTAAAATTAAAAACATTTTAATCTCTGTTAAAGATGCTGTGATACTTGATAGTATACAAACAAACTACCAAAAAAGTCCCTGGCACTTATTTTGAATGATTCAATACAATGTTCTGTCTATAATATATTGGGACCCGGGCATCCAAATTCATTGAGTTAAGTATTGTGAAATGTTTGTGTCACACACTAATATTAAACCAAATTTAAATTACAAAAAAACTTACAACATAAAACATTATCTGCAAGTGTATCTGATAAATGTATTAGGGACTTTATTGAATAGGGCCCAAGCTTTTCTTTTTGGTAAAAAATTAAACATGTTCAATATTATTTAAAATTGTAGTTAATTTTTAGTTGTTTTTAAAGTAATTGACATTTTTAACAGTTCACTTTTTTTTAAAAAGTCATGTTTTTTTTAAAAAGTTTTTTCAACTTTGTAATGTTACATCACTGAACCCAAAGACAAACATTTCTCTACAGGTAGGTACACTATTTACCACTAGCAATTGGAGCATAATAGGTTGCCTATCTTTTTTTTTAAATCTCTTATAGGCTATAAGTACTGAAATTTAACTCAAAAGTAGGTTATGTTTTATATCTGATTATTCTCAAACTAAATATGGTCTCCAATGCATCCATATATTGCTCTAATTCCACTCTTAATAATTCAGCTATCACATTTACTGACACTAAATCACCTACAAACACTAGACAACCAACGTGCATATCCCTATAATATGAATGTAATTTCATTTAACAATAAGGAAACAAGTATATGGGCTTAATTCTGATATAATTATTATATAACCGTTGTAAGAAATAATGTCGTAGGGTAAAAATGGTAATTGTTTCGAGTACACTTTTTCCAAATGTAAACATTTCTCACTGATAGTTTATCCTACATCCACTTTTTCCAATCGCCATTTTTCCTACAGGAAAAATATTTACTGGAAAAAATGGATATCGGTGAAAGTTGTAGTAACCCCTTATAGTACTAATGATAAGATATTAATATGAAGGGCACAAAGAAATAAAACAAGCAAGTCACTCTTTTAAAAATGGCCATTCTGTTGTGACAAAATTAATTTGAATACAAAACGAATCCGTTCTTTACGATTAAACATTATTTAAAAACAAAAATTGAACATTTTTTTAAAGATTTTAACATTTTAAAACATGTTTTTCTCAGATTAAAAAACAAGTGACTTTTTGGGTTTTTCCCCACATACCCTTTACAGTTTTATTATGAAAACTATAATTCACCGGACTAACAATATTATATAAGTACAAGTACTAACTTACCGTCGTTGACGGATACGAACTTCGTTTGCGTAAAAAAGTAAGTTTTCCGGAAACTTAAAAAACTAATAAAATACAAATTTTCAATCTGTACATAGTAAGACTTACAATGCACATAGGCTAGGTCTTTTTAGGGGTACACTTCTTAAATTTGCAGTGTAGACACCGTTTTAGAATAACGTCATTTTGATTCGTTAATTTGGGAAACACTTGACATTCCGGTATTATCATTTATAGTATTTGCCCGTTAAGTTAATGATAATGTCGATTAAAGAGCTTGTTTTATTTTTGTGTCTGTCTGAATCCAGAAGAATCAAAATTGGCAAATCCGGCCATCACAATTCAAGAGGTTTGTTGCCGTCAAAGAAGTTTGATAAAAAATAATATATTATATTATAGCCCAACCGAGTAAACTATAACGTTGACAGTTACATAATATACAATTATTTTTTTTTTTTTACAGTAATGATTGTAACACCCATTAGGCGCATGTCATATTACTGTTGAGTCGTTTTTTTGGGCTTGTTATTGCATTTGGCCAATTATTATACTTGTAACAAAATCTCACTATATTATAATACCGTTTTCTTATGGACGTTCAAAAGGGTTTGCCAGAGCCGCCGAACATATTATTCCCTATCGCTTGTTTATTATATCATTAAGTTATTATTAAGTATAATAATATTATCACTGCTATTGTCGATAACAGGTAGGTATAGATAGGGACCGACCGGGTGGCCAGCTAAATAATAACACAGCAAACCCGTAAACAACACACATTGTTTGTATACAAAATAAATGGATGTCGGGGTCGACGTTTTATTTAAAAAAAAAACCACACATAATAATATTATTATTATAGCTTGTAGCCAGATTGAATATTGAAAAAACCCTATCGAACGGATGTTGTGTATTGTAAAAAAACTGTTATTGTAGTATTCGGTTAATGCTGGGAAGTTGCATATTATTATATTTTTTTAGTGAAATCAGATTTATACCCAAATAAGATAAATCAACAGATTCACAATGACTAGATAGTTTCAAATCGCCAAACTTATATTGCAAAATATATTATGTATTTGCAATTTTGACACTTTTGAGCATATCATATTTGTCTATAATGTTTATTTCTAGATTTAGAGGCATGATATTTGTAAGTACAATTGCTATTTTTAGCAATTAACATTTTTGTTCCATATTAGTTTTTTCATCTTTCATAGTGTTTACATGTAGGTATGAGCTAAAGAAAAATTGTACACAATTAGAAAAAAAAAGTAACGAAAATTCTGGTTATGAAATATTGTCGAAAATAATCGTCATTGTTCTTTTAAATTTTAAAAACCCCGCCAAAATAATTCAATGTTCTCATGGTACATAAAATACCTTTTCAAATAATTAACTCATGTATTATGTTATTTAAATTTTGTCAAGTCGGCTAACATTTTTCAATTAAGGCATATAATTGCACATTATGTTGACATTTTATAATGTATATTTTAATTTACATTTATGGTCATTAACATCCGAGCTCTAATTATTGTATTAACGTTACATAATATATTATACGCCCTCGGTTGCTTTAAATCTCTAAAAGTGCTCCCCCCCCCAAAAAAAAAAAAAATTTTTTGGTACAATTTAATAGTTGTTTTTCCCTGTCAAATACCACAATATTATATTATTACGTTTAATAATATAAAGCCTAGAGAATGTACCTACTACAGTTGACAACTAAATGTAATATATAATTTTAAAAAAAACCAAAAATTTTCAAATATTGTGTTTTTTAAATATGACATTTATATTTGCTCAATTTAATCATCAAGTTTGACCCTAAAAAGCTAAGGCAAATTCGGGTTAAGAATAAACGTCTCATAATATATAACACATAACACATTATACATTTTTATCGTTGATAATCATATGAAATATTTATAATACACCAATAAGTAATAGATTCTGTCACTTGGACGAACCGAAATTAATTGTGTTAATTGTTGGTAGATCAATATTTAATCAATTTCAAAATTGTCTGAAAACTAAGCTTGCTAATTAATATCATTACCGAAACATAATATTCGATTGAAATGGGTTTGCGTTATCGAATTTAGTTCCGGTTAGAAAATTATATCAATTGGCAAGTTTAGCTGTTATACAAATTTGGAATTTTTGTATTGTTTTTAATCTTAGTGAATGTTATTACTCAGTGACTAATATATACGTATGGATAATTATTGCTAAAGGAGAAAATGATTAACTTAAAAATACTATTTGGCCTTTAACAAAACAATAAACACTGTGCACAAGAATTTTAGATAATTATTTCAAGAGAAAATGCGAGTATAAATAAAATTGAACGTTTATAATGAACAATTTCCAAAAAAACTTTCTCGATCAAGGTTAAAAAAAAATTTCTAAGCGAATTAAAAAAAAAATTCCTCTTTGGATTAAGGCCACGTGTATTTTTTTATATATTTTTGACGACCTTCGCGTGCAATCGTTTTTTTCTGCGGTTCTTATTTGTTTTATTATACATTCAAGTTGAAAAGAGCAACGAAGCTTGTATAAAACCATTAATATTGGTGTAGAAAGCTGAACATATTTCACAAAATAAAAACCTATATGCAGTTGCCATTAGTATTTAAGTGTTATAGTTTTTTTTTAAATTAACCGTTGGAACAAATCATAAAGATTTGCGCTTTTGCACAGACAATCATCTGCCAAACCTGCAAGGCGAAAATTATATTACTTTATACATATTTTAGTTCACCTTTGACACAATTGGTTCTTATCCAACGGGGGTATAGGGCATTGGGAAGAGAAAATAAGAAACAATAATATTTATATACAGGGTGTTCAAACAGTGGACAAGCACCATGGTCTACACGGTGATAATATTAACAGCTGTAATAATGTGTGCATTTCAAAATCTTTGTACACACAAGTAGTATTATTTTTTTTTTACAGTGTACATTGATTGTAAAAATACATCTTGAAATTTTTATAAAATATTAATCCGCAATAATAATATGCAATTCAATTTTTTTTCTCTACAAATTGTATACTCTTACCAATGGTATACATATTTTGGTAACAAGACCACCTTCGTGTCAAGACGATTTAAAAACGATAAGTTTATTATTAATTTTAACGGGCGGTGTACATAGTAATTAATTGTTACGGTTATTTTGAACACAGGCACACACGGCTTTGGAACGTTGTTACTTAAACGAATAAGATAATATATTGTTGTGATAATTTATGGGATTTTAAGTCTGGTGGCTCCGTCGACTTGGCCGTGTAATGGTCAGATCTCCTCGAGATACAATATTGACCATGGCACGTGTAAAACATTATTGCTTACTGTTGTTTTGGGTAGATTTTAATTAAGATGTAAGACTTAGTTAGCATTTAAGCATTTTATCATTGTACTCAATTCTATGTAAATGACGTTGTTAATACTTGTTTACCACAAGTATTAGGATATGCTAGCTTGCATTCTTGTACTATAAAACCCCAATGAAACAGCGAGTATGTATTCAATTGCTCTTACTTGTTTTACCCGTGCAAGTACTGTTTATAAAAGTGTTATATTAAATTGAATCAAATCTATCTTGGCAGTTTATTTATTTTACTAAAGTCTAAATCATTTAATTACTATATTTCGTATACTGTTAAGATAGTGTTTGTATTGAACCCTACAGTTCATTACATATTTGGTGTCAGAAGAAGTTAACGGCTTGAATTTTTTTTTTGAACGTCAAAAAAAAAATATTCGTTAGGAAAAGTCAAGGACTTTTCGAAAGCCGTGCCACACTGTAAGTATCCAGGATCGTCCAGGAGCTTACACTGCCCATCCAAAAAGACCATTTTGAGGTTCTTTTTTTTTCTACCTATCAAACTTCATTCAAGTTCCGGTACACAGCGTTGTCCAGCCGAGCCGCCCAGCCAAGCAGCCTAGCCAAGCAGCCAATCCGCCCAGCCAAGCAGCCCAGCCAAGCAGCCCAGCCACACAGCCAAGCTGTCCACCAACAACCAGAGTGTCAAGTCGTGTATAACCAGCCACAAAATCATGTCGAACGCTTTATTATTGTAAGTCATTGGATTTATATAGCTTATGTCCGATAGTGATAGTTGGAAGGTAGTTGAATACGACCCAGACCAGTTGGTGATTAGGTTAAAAAATATACTAGGAACCAAGACCAAAATGGCTAACGATGCTTTACTAACTTTAAATTCAGCCATTAAAATGGTACCACATTTTTCTGGGGGGTCAGAATCAGAATTAACATGTTTTGAATCTAGATGTAAATTTATCATGGATAATATAGACCCGATATATAAATTAAAACTTATTGAGGTTATTAAAACTCAATTATCAGGTAGAGCTTTCGAAGTTATTAGGTACCGTGATGTTAAAACACTTAATGATCTTCTTAAAATATTGCGCGAAAATTTTGGCGCTACTCATTCCATCACATTCTTACAAGCGCAACTCAGTTCATTAAGGCAAGGATATAAAGAAAGCGCGCAAACTTATTTTTCTCGAGTCGAGGAAACATATCAAAAATTAATACAAGCATCTACTATAGATAAAACGAGCATAGAAAGAAACGCGATAGCAGAAACAATAAAATCTCATGCGCTTTCAGTTTTTATAAATGGCATAAATTCAAATTTAAGAATTATTTTAAAAGCGCGTAATCCTACAACTCTGGAAGGGGCCATTTCCATTGCTGTAGAAGAAGAAAAAAGTGTTGAGCCGCGCAATTTTTACAATAACGGCGCAAATAAATATAAAAATAACAATAATAAGTATACAAAAAATTCTAAAGATAATGATAGGGATAAAAAGAATATCCGCTGCTATCGATGCAACCGTGAAGGTCACGTCCAAGGAGAATGTAGGACAAAAGAAGAGAACTTACCAAAATTTACTAACCCAGCGTATAATAGGAGTACAAATATTAAACGGGAAAATAAAGATAACATTAAAACGTGTGCTTATTGTAAGAAGCCTAACCACGAAATTAAATTCTGCAGGAAACGCATTTTTAACGAAAAAAAGAAAAATGATAATTCGAACGATAATGGTGACGAAGGCACCTCGGGCTCAAACCGATCAGTACAGGAAATTAAAAATAACGTGCGAGTAGTTACAGAAATAATAGACGAACATATAATATGTAAATCTAATTCTTTTATTAATGCATCAGCTAAATTTTTGATAGATAGTGGCGCGCAAATGAACATTATTAAAATAGACTCGCTAAAAGACGATCTTATCATAAACGAAGATGAAAAACGGCAACTACAGGGAATATCGGCAACGCGCGTAAGCACAATCGGAACAACAATTTTAGACATTCTGATTAATAACAGTACCTTAAAAATAAAGTTCAATGTAGTAGATAACGATTTTAAAATAAGACAAGATGGCATTCTGGGTAATTCATTTTTAAAAAAAAACAAAGCCATTATTGATTTAAATCGCGACTTATTAATTATTCCTACGGGTACAGAAGAACTTAACTCGTCACATTTAATTATTCCACAGCGCTCTAACTGCCTAGTATGTATTAAAGTAGAAAAGCCAATTCAGGCTGATAACATTTACATTGAAAAAATAGAATTAAGCGACGATGTAATTATCGCAAATAGCGTAAGTCCAATCAAAGGGCAACACACGGTAGCAAATATTATAAACATAGGCGAACAACCGGCTTTCGTAGAAAATATTGAAATGAATAATTTAATCTGGGGGCCGTACGATAATAACAAGGTAAATGATAATACTACACCAGACCAATATGATGACTCAAGTAATATCATGTCTATCAGGGAAAAATTAAGTGGGGCCAGTAGGTTAGAAGCGCTCGCCAAGCTTATTATAACAGATCATCTACTTGATGACGAACGGGAAAAATTACTCGATATCTGTTTTAAATACTCGGAAGTTTTCTTTCTTGAGGGCGATATATTACAAGCAACAGACGTAATTACTCATAGAATCCCCACTCCCAATCTCACGAAACCAATAAACGAATTATTACAGTTATCGGACATAAGAGTTTATTACGCCAATGATAACATTGTTTATCTAATTAATTTACCGTTGGTATACCAAACACAGCTAACACTGTTTGCCGTACTAGCAAAACCGGTAAAATTAGACAATAATTTTTCTTATGTATATGTTAAACCAAATTTTAAATATCTAGCTATAAGTAAGACGAATGAGCACTATACGAGCTATTCAGATCTAGATTTGTTAAACTGCGAAGTATCAAAAACCTTCCTGTTATGCCCTGAAATTCAAACCTTACATCCAACAAATATGAAACCTACATGTGAAGTCCAATTATTCCAAAATACTAGAATTTTCCCATCCAATTGTAATATTCAATACCTAAACATATCATATTCTATTTTCCATAAATTAAAGTATAAAAATCAATGGATTTTTACAATTCCATTTGACACGTTATTTCTCACGTGTGACAATATTAAAGAATCAATATCTTTTTCAATAGAAGGGGTAGGTATTCTTTCTTTAAATGAGTCCTGTAAGGCATATGGGAAAAATGATATCCTTATTCCTTCCCCAATTTCTAAAGATAACATTTTCACAGATGTTATTCCAAATACTAACATATCTAGCTTAATAAATTCAACATTGTATAAATTTCCAATTACACATGTTACAGAATATGTTAATATCCATAATTTAAACGATATGGCTAATCTCAAAACAGAATTGTTATTACCTAATCATGAACAGTCATATGGTCTGTTTTTGTCTGTTCTTACTATATTACTAATTATTAATATATTAATTTTTATTGTATTCATTATCATAAAAGTTGTAAGTACAAGAGAAACCTTGCGTTCAGTTGAAGGACATACTGGTCGTAATTTCAACATAAACAATGAAACGGTTAATGTAAACAATGAAAATATTAATGTACTTAACGAAAGTATTAGTGTAAATAATATTAACAATGAACCTCCATGTGTTCATACTGAACATTCATTTGTTAATAATGAGCCTCAAAATGTTCGGAACGAACATCTCAACAGCAATGTAGCAATACCATACCATAATTCTAACACGCCTCGTGCTACATTTCATATTCCAAACCGTTTTTACTCGGTTTATCCACGTTTATAAAATATAACCATTATATTTCTTATTATATACATTATATTTCTTATTGTATTCATATTATATTCATATTATACTCATATTATATTCACATAATCCATATATTATATTCTTATTGGTACGAAAAACATCTGGGTACTTCGTCCACATATGTTTTTCATTTTATCGGGGGGATGTAATGGTCAGATCTCCTCGAGATACAATATTGACCATGGCACGTGTAAAACATTATTGCTTACTGTTGTTTTGGGTAGATTTTAATTAAGATGTAAGACTTAGTTAGCATTTAAGCATTTTATTATTGTACTCAATTCTATGTAAATGACGTTGCTAATACTTGTTTACCACAAGTATTAGGATATGCTAGCTTGCATTCTTGTACTATAAAACCCCAATGAAACAGCGAGTATGTATTCAATTGCTCTTACTTGTTTTACCCGTGCAAGTACTGTTTATAAAAGTGTTATATTAAATTGAATCAAATCTATCTTGGCAGTTTATTTGTTTTACTAAAGTCTAAATCATTTAATTACTATATTTCGTATACTGTTAAGATAGTGTTTGTATTGAACCCTACAGTTCATTACATAAGATACTTTACTCCTTAAAAATTGGCGGTGCGACGCCCTCTTAAATGGATCAATTTTTTTTTTTTTAATAAACATCCATTCCATAGGCCTTATGCGTTTAGGACAGCAGCTGCAACCGCTCCGTTGTCCGTCGACACACGAATGATTAATGATAAATAATAATAATAATAATAATAATAATATAATAATTATCGTTCGAGCCAAGTGAAATATTTTTTTTTTCCACCGTCTCCCCCCGGTTGCCAATCCTATTACGGATCTGCTCTGGCGGTGGTGACATACTAAAAAACGCGTGTCGAGTATTTTAACAACAACAATAATAATGTTCTTTTTTTCTTTTTTTCTATCTAAATAATAACATCAACAAAAACAAACCGTACAACGGGGTCGTCCGGCCGAGTGCGAGTGTTGGCTGCAATAATATGAACGCGGCCCAAAGGTAGGGCAGACACAGACCAGCTGTGGGACACGGTGCCAAAGATATGAGAGATAAAAGCTCTGGTCCATCCGCATTGTTCAAGCAGTACAGACCGCGTGCAGCAGCCAGCATGGCAGGAGGCATCATGATGGTCGTGGCGAGGAACAACAACGCCGCTGGTGTTCAGTGCGACCGCCTTCGTGTGCCAGTCAACGGCGAGATCGTACTAAAAAAATCCGACCTGTAAGCTATAAAAAACAAAATAAAAAATTAATCATTTTTTTTAATAACCTAACGCTTTTGGAAAAACCCCTGGCGAGGGCGGTGTTTGCCGGTAACCGTACAATGTGTGCACAGAGCGACTTAACCGACGGGGGGTGGCGTTTTTAGATTTCTGACAACTTTTATCTTGTTCAGTGTTTTCTAGAGCTTTATAAACTTAACAAAACTTAAACGGTAAAGAATGATTTTCTGAAAATGTCGACCGGTCGAACACCGGTTTTGAACAAATAGTTTTGAAGTTTTAAATTTAGGACAGGAGGGAGGGTGCAACTGCACTTCACCCCCTGTCTTAAATTTTAAACCTAAATAACTTGAAAAATAATTACTTAATATACCGGTTAGGTCCAGTCAATGTTTTCGGTAGGTTATTATTAATTTAAAAACTCGATTAAATATAGTATCAATATAATATTTAAGTTTCAAAAGTTGACAAAGCTCTAGCAAATAATAAACGAGATACAAATTTGAATATTGTCTAATAATGTACTATAACATAAGTAAAAATAACAACTGTTTTTCACATAGAATTTTACTTGAAGAAAATTTAAACAATTATTTTCAATTCGTACGCACTAAATTTACAATTTAAATTTGTGAATACCAATTTTTCAAATTTATTTTTTTTAACCAACAGTAAAAGTTCGGATTTTAAAAGTTATATTCCCAGTTGGTACACAACACTCTTTACATATTAATAAAAATAGATATAAAACAATTAAAAAGACTTAACTAATTCATTAATAATGAATCTGTTTGACTAGACATTATAATATTTTCCGTCCATTTTTTTTTTTTTTTGTTTTTCCTAGACAATTTTTAATCGAATACTGTATAGGTAACTGTAACTGTTATCGGTACAAAATAAGTGAAACTACTTAAGTAACACTTCTCATTTAAGACGGTGAGTTTGTTTAGTAAAATTTAGTTTGCCTCGAGTTGCAATACAAAATTTACATACACCGATTAAACTTGTACAGGACAAGCCTTACCTCTTTCGAAAAATAAAACTCTATCTTACATAGTATATAAAATTGTACTACTATATGAACCTATTTTTGCTTGCAAGTTGTACAATATTGAATATTCTGACGAAAGGGTTGGGACTTGAAATTTTTGTGTGTTTTTTTTTACAGATGGAGCGTGTCTTACGTGTGCCCCGGTCTGGCCCTTTGCGGTGCCTTATCCCTTTACACCGACAAAGAAACCGTGTCCCTGTTGCAGCCCACTTGTCTGATAAACTGTGCCCAAGAATTACCTGACACGCCGCTACCCGAGACGGTGACCAAGTATCATAAAGTAACAGTGACCGACAGCCCAGACACGGACCTCAGGCCGCACATGGACCGGATAGCCGATCTCATCCATCAGGTAAACACACAAAAGCTCCTGCTGTTCACCACAAAGGGTCTTCCATACTACTAGGCAAAAGACATGATATAGGTATAGAAATAATATACCCAACACCTTGGCAAAACCGCAAGACTACTTAATTGGGCGCACAGGAGCCCGCAAAGGAAGTCCTTTCAATTTGTTTACCTAAACTGTTGACCTAGTGCTCTACAATTTACACACTGTTGTTATAATTGGTCCTATATTGATTTTTGAATTTTTTTTTATAAATCAAACCATCAAACTTGGATGATAAGTGGTACCTACATCAATTATTATAGTGTATGTTTTTTGGGGAAATTGGTACCTGCGCGTTTAATTTATAGTGTAAACATGTAAAAAAAAACAGAATAACGCGCACATCTAATTAGTCGCGATAAAATGGATTATAATTGAAATACTATTACCGTCAAGTTCCAAGAAGTGTTTTTCACTTGTTAAAAAATGTTTATCTTATTTATTTACAGACAATGCCCAACCCCTAATACTATACAATTATTGATAAAAATGTAAATCATATACGTAATACCAAAAAAAAAAAACAGTTTACTCATTATAGAGGTAATAATTGTTTTTTTAGTCTGAAATACAAATCTCATACGCCTAATTAATACATATTTTTTAAGCTGAAGTAATAATAATTCCAATATAGAATAAATTTAATGTTCTGAGCTAATTATTGTGCACTGATAGCCGGAAAGGAGGTAAAGTAGTATTCATTTTATATAAACTTCTTAACCCTTTCTCGTGTAGTAATAAATTAAGAAAAACAAATAAAAGACGTTTTACATGAATGGTCGTTGGAAATTCGTTTTAACCCTTCAGTGCCCAACTTTTTTTGAAAATTTTTAATAATGTACAATTTTTTTCTAAACAGATTAAATTATCAGCAATTTGGGTTGATAGCGATTTCTTTAATAACTACCAAGGGTGGCACCTTAGTATTCAATCTATTAGTTGTTCTAACTATATAAAATTATGTTAATAAACATGTTGCGTTTCTGGACAATGTGGGCATTTTAGGGTTGAGTTGATCATAACGTAAACAAATTGTATTATTGTTTTTAATATTGTTTTTGTTTTACCCATCGAACCGTCTGGCGCCGGTCTGTAATGAATAATGACAATTTTTTGAAAACGATGTTAAAATTGCCGAAATTCAAAATAAACATACATATTATAACCGAGAGGAAAATATGTAATAAACGCTTGGCGCCTATCCCGGTATGTAGAGAGTGACACATGGAGGCCGTTAGCCTGACACCATTGAGACAGTTAAAAAAAAAATAAGCAATAAGAATTAACCGGCGGCAAAGTATGTGGTCGTAAACACATAGTAATAATAATAATAATTTTACACAAACATCCTCTAAACGGAACACAACGGTATTTTTGCCAGAAATATGTTCAAACGATTATTATAATCCATATTTTCTTTTTAAGAGTTGAGCTAGTGTTTTTTATTTTATTTTTAGACCGACCGAGTTAAAGGTACACTATTACTAAGGTGTTATCGTTGTTGTATTTCTTGGTATTTACAACAGCAGCGTAATAATACTTATACAAATATTAGATACACCACAAAGGACAATAGTGAATTGGGTAAACGAATGGAGCCGATAATAATAATGATTAATGATCGGCAGATTCATGTTTTTCAAGAAAACGCAGAAGGGTGAGGTCACCGGTTGTTTATTGAAAATAGAAAGTTTAAAAAAAATAATATATAAAATACACACATATATAATAAATTATGCACACGGTCTTAAGACACTATACACGCCTAAGTATAGCAGACGGTTTGACCGTCAAAAAAAAAAAACACTCGGGTCTTTAAATAAACCCTTAATTATAGATTGTATACGGATTTTTTTGAATAATATATTTTAGTGGCCTAAACGAATATTTAACACAGCTGTATAGTGTCCATATTGATTGACAATAGATGTACAGCTACAATAATATTATTGTTATGTCACACTGTACGATAACCAAATTAAAACGGTCCGACTCATAAAAAATTGCAATAATAATTTCCATATGATAAGACCAACCAACCCTTCTTCTCAATGCCCAATTTTTTTTTGTAGATTAAAATATTAGGAATTTTTGGGTAAACTGTAAAAACCGTCCAAATATAATGCCTATAAAATGACTATACATATACAATGTACTGAATAGTAAACTGTGTCTAATTGGCAACTCACTTGGTAAATGGATAATAAACGCACAAGGAAACCTACTAAACGGACAGTCCTTGGTACACCTTATTTGTAATTGGGAACTTTTTCTATATTTCTCTTTTTCGGGTAAAGTTTTAGGGGCAATTTAGACTGAAGGAACACCCCCTCACCCGGCCAATGTAATGAACTGTAGAGTCCAATACAAATACTATTTAGGACAGTGTTAGGACTGTAGTAATTAACTGATTTAGACTTTAGTAAAACAATAAGAACTGCCAAGATAGGTTTGATTCAATGTAATTCAAATATAACTTTTACACAAACAGTAACTTGCTCGGGTGAAGCAAGACAAAACAATTGAATGAATATACTAGCTGTTCCTTTGGTGTTTTATAGTACAACGAAAACAAGCTAAGCATATCTTAATACTTGTGGAAAACAAGTATTGACGTCATTTAAACGGAATTGACAATGCTTGAATGCTATATGAGTATATTATACATTAATTAAAAGTTACCCAAAACAACAATATAAGCATAAATTGTATCTCAACGTGCCACATGGTCATTACCAATATCTTTAAAGAGACCTGACCATTACACCATACTGTCCTGGCTAGACCTTTACCCCCCTACCCCCCTATATTGTACAAGTCATCGACTAATTGAATAAACTAATTGAAAAACTATTTTTTTTTTTTTTGCCCTTAAAGGAATACTTAAACGGAGGGCTGACGATTGTGCACTGTGCTGCCGGCGTGAGCAGGTCGGCCGCGTTCTGTATAGCTTACTTGATCAAGTACAGAGCAATGGACATGACCAATGCATACAGACACTTGGCCATGTGCAGGCCGTGCATAAACCCCAACCAGGGCTTTGTCGGTCAACTCATAGAATTCGAGGGCAAGTTCGCCGACGATTGACCGCGGTCTGCCCGTCCAAGACATTCCGCTAATAAGCTGATATATTATAAGATGTTATTGTAATATATTATTTTGATGAAGAGATTTTACATTTTTTTTTTTGTATAATGGCGTGACGGGGTTCAAACGGTATCTTTAAGAGTTGTAAATAATATATAATATACATATTATGTTTTTTGTGTTGGTTATTATAATATATCATTATAATACATTTGGGGGTCTTCTTCTCTGTATACCTGCTAGCGGCGGCTGGCAAAAGAAAACCGTCTTATCAGCTGCTGTCACCGCGTCGACCGTCTATTGTAAACAACAATACAACGTCTTAAAAACATACTAATCAAATAGATAATATTATCATTTATCGTTACAGCCTTTTTTTGCTCTCATTAGATACCTACCTATTTGAAAAATGTAAAAAAAAAAAAAAATGATTTTGCTAAATCAAACATACTTAGTTTGTGGTGTATTTATTTTCGTTTATTTTAAATAATATCTACTATTACTTCTTCGCATATTAGCAATAATAATATTTTGTATATTATTATTAAAAACAAAAGAAAACCCACGTCGTTTACATTTAATCAACACAAATAAATATTCTGGCACGGTTCCCCCAATAGCGTTAAAACGCTTTATAATGCTTTGTGAAAACAATATTTACAACTATTTCAAAATCTATTTAAGATTTTGGTATTTTTAAAAAACTCCTTAGGTTAAATTTAAATTTTAAATTTTACAAATAACACCGACCCATTAAGATATTGTTTATTTTAGACTTAAAATTGCAACAATTGTAGATATGTTTATATTGCTGTTATTTAAATAGTATTTATTATCAACTATAAATAGTAGGAAAATATATATATTTATTAATATATTATGAATACTTTACTGAATTTTTTTAATAATAACTGTCGATAAAAACACAAATTCTAAATTTTGTCGAATAAAATATAATAGTATGTGTCAGTTTAATAAATAAAGGAAAAACCCCAGTACCCATTATGTATACTTGGGAATGTGTTTTTTTAATTTAGTTTTAATGGTCCAGATTATATTTTGGAGATGAGACGTTTCGGACAATTTTATTTGGATTCTTATACATTAAAAATATTTTCAAATCCCATTACAACGTGGACATTCTAATTTAAGAGTAGATCTAATAACGATAGAACTGTGTACCAAACGTTAAAACAACTTTTTGATTAAAAAAAAAAACATAATTGATATTCAAAGCACTAAAAAAAACTATTCAACTCTCTTGATCTTACTGGGAAAATAATAAATTTAAATACCCAAATTTGTATAAATTAGCTTTGGTTGTACATAATTATTCCCCTGCAACTCAAGAATCTGTAGAAAGGGTATTTTCATCTTTAAAATGCGTTTTAAATGATCATAGCTGTACAACCTTGGCAATGAAACCCTTGAAAATATTTTGTTAGTAAATTTTAGCCTGGGTTCGAAAAATTAAACTGCCACTTAACTATGACATTTTGATTGTACACATATTAAATTGATATCGTATGATAATTTGAAATTTAAATTTTCAAAATATTTTTTAAAACATTTTTATGTTAAATGCGCATAGTAGGCATAGTAAAATTATTATCAAGCTGTATGTAATACATATTTTCCTATTAATAAAAACGCCAAAGCATAATTATACTTTTTTCATTAAACTTATTCGTGTAGGTAAATGGTTTACTGTTAAATAAAAACTTAACTATAAATCCAATTAGAAAAGCTTTTATAGTTATTCTGCAGTTTAAACGCGGCCACGGTCCCCCAAATGAGACTAGTACACAGAGATGTTATATACAATGATGATGATCTATAATATGCTCAGCTTGCACCCAAGTAGTCAAATCAAAACGCGTTCTCTGGTTCAATATTGGGTGTTATTATTCAAATACGTCTAATCTAACGCCAAAATACATACATAATATATATATATATATATTGATCATTGCAATGGCGGGAAAACGGTGACGTCACAGTTGCACACATTTTCCTTACACGGGTATCTTGAAAATATAAACGGCGGTAAACAAATTTCTTCCATCCGGTCCATTAACTCCCACCGTGGCTCGTGTGTTGCCAACATTTTTTTTTTTTTAAATTATTTATACTATTTTTCTTTTACACGTTTCCACTTAGCAAATGACACACACACACACAAGTGTGTGTACTACCTATTATATTGTATAACGTGCCCCGAGAATAATGTTCATTACCTACGCCAACAAAGTATAGTGGAGTGTTGTATTTTTAGAACCGAAAATATCAACACGGTTTTTTTGTGTGTTTTTGCTACGACTCGGTTCTCTTCTGGCATAAAAAAATCTCACACAGCCCCGCCATTGGTAGCCAACAGTTTTGGAAATTTGTTTTACCTCAGGTAGGACAATTGTATACCAATTACTAAACGGTAATTAGAGGTCAGGACTGAATTACAAATTCAGAGTTGCAAAGTGTTTTAAACGGTATTGTTTTCAACGTTTTAAGTTTACAGTAAACTTAAAACTTAAACTGCTTACTATATAATTACATTTATTTTATCATTTTTTACAATACTTGTATTCATTTTTTAAATATATGTTATAAATTATGTATATCTATATATATATATATATATATAATATATATATTATTTATTAAATACCCTATAACCTAACCTAACCAACATATATAATATATATATATTTATATGTTTGTTATTTTAATTTGAGTAATTAATTTGTATTCGTTGAAACGTACAGAATTCAGATTTTAAGGTACAATATTTAATAATTAATATCAAATATGTATTATTTGTATGTATACATACAAACTAAAAAAATGTGCCCAAGGGTTTGCACATGAAACTGTTGTTTGTTTCTAAAGAGTAAATATTTAATTAAACAAATCAACTAGAATTAAAAAAAAAAAAAATAATCATCCGGAATTGGTAAGTATTTATTATGTAATATATTTACAATTTCTAATTATATACTAAATTAGATTAAAATTTGTTTAAACATAATTTTTAAACTATATTTAAAAACAGTCTAAAACATTGAAAACATAGTTTGAACAAAAAAAAAAACCGTTTTTTTTTTGTATTGTTTTTAAAAAAGAACTGTTTATTTTGCAACTCTGATTACAATACAGTCGTGTTTAAGTAAAATTATTAGTTTTATTAGTAGAGCTCGGATGTTAATGACCATAGTAAATTGATTGAAATATGCATTTTAATCTGTCAAAATATGCAATTATATTATGCCTTTATTGAAATGGCCGGAAAATGTTAGTCAATTGTTCAAATAACCGACTTAAAGTTATTTAAATACAATTCACATATACATAGGTTAATTATTTAAAACAACAATGACTGTTTTAGATTAATTTTGGACAATATTGCAAAACAAGAATTTTCAATGTTTTCTCAAATAATTTTTTTTTAGCTCATACTCGCAAACACGGTAAAAGATAATAAAATAAAATAAAACCTTTTTTTTTTACACTTACACACGACATGCTATTGAATCTAGAAATAATCATTATAGGCAAATATTATAATATGCTCAAGTGTCAAATATTAGTAGTCTTTACGATTGATATAGTATTTGGGTATAAATCTGATTTTACTGAAAAAAAAAAAAAATGCAGTCATACGAGCATCGCCTAGCGTTAGTTATTAAATTGAAATTGATTTATATGTTTTGTTCCTGTATATAAAATAGACCAAAACAATTTCCCAAAGTTTTATCTACAATTTCCCAAAAAGCAGCAGAAGTCGGACACTGTTACACACACAAGTATTAAGGCTTTTATAAATGACCTTGTTATAAATGAAACGGATATTATAATATACGGATTAGTATAATATAAATAACGTTATTATTATTGTGTTGTTTATTAGGTAGGTACGACAACTGACAATCCGTTGTCTGTGGTCTAAAACTGTCAACGGAAACAGATAATGAGTAATGATGACCGACCTGTCAACAGAAACGATAAATAATAATAATTGTGTAGACTACGAGCCGGTCGCTGGATATATGCATAATTATATTAAATAATAATAATAATATGTCTTGTAAAAAAAAAAAAAAAACCCGATAGGTTTATTTTATTAATTAGGTGTTACAGCCGACGTTGAACCAGACCGTGTACATATAATACAAATTCAAAATTGAATATTAAATAACCTGCAAAAATAATAATTTATTTTTCACACAAATGAGTAAAAAATAAAATATTACATTTTATACACACGGCAAATAAATTTCAAACAATTAATTTCGAAAACATATATCCAACAATTTTTATAATAATTTCTATTGTATCAACTTACTTTTAGCTTTATCCGTGTGGCATTTTTAACGTACATTTTTTTTTCTACAAGTTATGTAGCCAATTTACAAGCGACTCTAAAAAAATACTTGACGTTCACATATCTCTCAGCACACAAGTTAAAAATTAAAATATATGTTCTGTTTTATACTTTACTAATCACTACCGGCTGTTATAACCAAAGCCTAATAATACAACTTAAACTAAAAAAACTACCGTAGATGTGCGTGAGATATGTTGTAGATTGTGTTTGAATTTTTAATACTTTTAGCTGTTGTGGAAACAGGTAGGTATATTAACAGGGCGTTAATATACCTGTTTACCAGGTACACCGGTTTACAGCTATTGGTTAACATATAGGTACCATTGCATTGGTAACAAACAAAATGGCCACGGTTTTCTATCTTTTATAGGTAATTTAGTAATAACTCAAAAATATTACATTAGGTGTAAAATATTATATTATGTTATGCTCAAGAAAATGCAATTTTTCTCAACTATTTTTGCCTTAAAATAATAATTGTTAGACTATTGCAGTCATAATAATATTAAATATAAAATATACATAATACAATATAGGTTAATGTGGTTCAATATGGTATAATAATGGTTGAATATGGTATAATCTGTTTAGGTAGAAGACACAAAAAAAGCCAAGTACACAAATAGGCAAATTTTAAGCTTAGAAAATAAGTGTAAAATTGATCAAAATTTTAGTCGTTTAAATCCGGTTATTTAAATCCATTTCTGTGTTCATTTATTTTATTTTATTTCTTGGCCTAATGTTTATATATGATAAATGTCTATTCCCCGCAAAAACAACCCATGTCAAGTATGTTTTATCTGAATTTAATGAAATACGGTCAAAGTTAGACTATTTTTTGATAAACTATGTGAATTATGAATATCAGAAATCCTAAAAATAAAATTGGGTGTAAGTGGAAAAAACAAGTTGAATATCTGGAGTAATGAATGAGTTTTTTGTATGTATAAACAACTTTATTAAAATATAAAAATGGACTGCTCAGTTGCCAATTAGACACACAGTTTACTATTCAGTACATTGTATAAAGTTTTTTTTTTTTTAAATACATATCGATAAATTTGAAGGGCAAGAGTAAACGAAAATAAACGAAAATTACAATCTAAGTATCTCGAATATGATATGGGCTTATTGAAAATAAAATAAATTAAGTTGTTAAGAGTATTGAATGGTACATTTCAACCAATTTTTGTTTGGGAATACCATATGGCTTTTAAAGAAGTTTAAAGGCGATGCTGGTCCTCCCTTGGTGTATAATTTCAATTTTATAACTTCAATTTCATATGATAATACAATTTTCGCTTTATACTATAGGGCAAACGGTCAGTATACAGTGTATACTGTAATAATTATTTTCAAACGGAATATAATGTCTTATTTATAATAGGTAGGTATGGATTATAATAGAAGATATTATTATTATTACAACACACATGGGCCATGATAACATTATTCGGTTAGTTTACAATAATATTATTGTAAAATCGCATATTATTACAATTGGGATAAGACGCACTCGTGATCGACCGACAACGTTTCTCATAAAAAAAAAAAACACCCAATTAGTAAAAAAACCTTTATTGTTATTATTTTTTTTATACGGATACAGGGTGATCGAGGCGGCCGACAATACGGTGTGTATACCGTGTAGATAACGTACCGCGCGTTTTGCCGTCACCCTGTATATACTCGTTATTTATTGCGTCGCCACCCTTTGTTATGGCCGGCGGCCGGCGTCTCACCGTGCGGCGGCCATCCCGCGATCAACCGGTTTGCCGCCGACCAATCGCAGGGCTCGGTTGGCTGACGCATCTGCGGAGGGGGAGGGTGTCCGAACGCACCCCGGTCGCCTTTATTAACCCCGTCCGCACCGCCGGTGGTTACCATTAGCCGTGTACACCTCGGGAGTACAGCATCTCTCTGCCGCAGCCGCCGTCTAGGAAGAGGATACACCATTCCGCACTGGGTTTTTCCTGTTTGTCTTCATCTGCGCATCCGTCTGACCAGAGTAAGTACCCAATAATTAATTTATATGTATACTATTATCTAGTCTTTAGACACATCTTTTTTTTAATGCTTCGATACGGTTAGGTGTTTTTTCAAAATTATTTTCAACTATTACCAACGTTTTTACGATTTAAAATACATCTGTACAAGAATTTTTTTTTCTTAAACTCGACTGAACATTACTCTCATTAAATATTTAAATTTTCAACAGTAGTGATTAATCTTTCATGTCGCTTTTAAATAAGTGTTTTTTATATTTGTTCGTATTTTTATTTAATTTTAACTTGCACGAATCTAATAATGCCTAAAAAAAATTATATAAATCATTGCGGTCTTCAGTCTTGTAAAATATTGAATGACATGTTCTTATTGGAAACTAAATTAACTCTTTTTGAATAACTGTAGACACTAGGCTGTAATTATATATATATATATATATATATTTCTAAAATGTATTCAATTTAATTTGTTGATGTCCTGTCTTGAAATTTGATTTTTATTATAATTTTAAAAATAGTTTTTGATAAATGACATTTGATTAAAATAAAAACTAAAACGTCCCCTTTTTAAGTTAATTTTTAATAATATTTGTAAATTGATTACATTCGCTCGATAACAAAACGTTGCCTTTATAAAATTAATAGTCGTCTAACGCGATGTAATTATATATCATTCGTGTTTTTTAAAAGTTAATTTTAATTTTGCCCAAATTTAACATTTAATAATATCGAACTTGAAATATGAATTTTTGTCGTGAACAGTTTTTAACTGGTTTTTTTAAAATTAATTCTAATAAGTACCCTATAATGCTAAAAATAGTATTATCAATCTTTTACTAATATGAATATACACTGTTTTTAAAAACTATTGAAAATTATTTTTTATAATAATGATAAATCTTTTATTAAATTGGCTTCTTTTTAATTTAAATTTTTACAAATTTTTTATTTCTTAGTTCATATAATTATAATTCTTCGTTTGTTATCTGTATTTATTGGGTATTTATAATTTATTAAAACATTCATGTCCTATAGAGACTTTAATGAACCTTAAATTGCCCTTTTTTTAACTAATTTTTTCTTGAGAGTAGAAAATTTACATAATTCATACTAGTAATAAATCTTATTAGTTTTTGTTGAAAATATACTCGTTAATCCGTTTCGAAAAATTGCCTTAGAAATGTTTATACCTCTGTTTGAATTGTTTTTAAAAAACTATAATAATATTTAAACTATTTTCTTACGATTCATAATTACACTATTTTATTCAAAGGTTAATATGATTATTATTATTAAAAAAAACCTAAATTATTTATTTCATAACTAACTTAAACATTGTTTTTGTTTCTAGTGTCCGAGATGTCCGACATAAAAGACTTTGTCAAATCGTTGAACGGTTGTAAATCGTTCAAACATCGACAACAGTTTTTGAACAGAGTGATCGATTACATGGCTGCCGAGAACGCCGACGCGTTTATGCAGACCTACCGCGAATTTAAGAAGAGAGAACTGGAAGCCAACGACCCGAACAAAATCGCCAAATGGTTGACCACTTCGAACGTAAAATCGTCGTCATCCAAAATGCACGAGGCGTTGATGTTGGTGAAGGGCTCCAATATCTTGGCTCAAGAACAGTACTTGGACAACTTGAAGCGTATTTTCTCGCACACGCTGTCTTCCGGCGAAAACGTCCAAGAATCCGTGAAACTTTGTGCCCTCGTCGAGAAGTTAACATCGTTGGCCAACATTCATCAGTGAGTGGTTTATTATATTTGTTGTAACGCTAATTATGTATTTTATTTAATAATTTTCAATTTGCTCTCTGTAGTCCATTGAAACACCTCATTCGAGAAGTCAAGCAAATGAACGAGCGTCGTCTTTGTACTCAACTGCCGCCTCCGCCGCCGCCAAATGCTTGGCCGCAGTACGGCCGCAGAGAGGTACGAGAACTCGGCCAAATGATCAACGGATGGACTCCTTTTGGTGAACATTCGACGCCGACTTGGCCGACCGTGTTGCAGCCGGAGAGTTTGACTTTGCCGTATCCCGTTTCCGGCAACCCTAGTTTTTTCAGTCGTAAGTATACATATCGTAGAAAATAATTATCGCAAACTAATCGCGTGTGTGGTCGATTTGTTTTCAGTGGACTGTTTGGGCGTCGATACGTCGAAAATGGCCGCCAATCCGGAGCCGCTGTTCAATCCGAACGGCGGCGCTTTGCCGAACCTGACCATTGTCGAGCAAGACATGGACGAGGCCGTCTACAAGTGGCTTCATTATTTGAAACTGCACAAGTACCAGTGGTTCTTCAACGGCCTCAGCTACTTAGAAATCGAATGCATCAACGAGGACACGATCGAATCGTTCATCGCCAAAGTCAACGAGAATTCCATTACCAAGGGCGCTCAGAAGAAGATCTGCATATCGACCAAGGCGCTCCGCGATCGTCCCAAGAAGCTCAAAGATTTGATTTTGGTAAGTGTTGTTGTTGTTGTTGTTCGTTGCGACGTTTAACGAGTGTAATAATAACAACCTATTTATTCCCACAGGCTTTTGATCTGGAAGTCACGTCCACCGAGCTGTGCGAGCATCTGTCGTACATGCGGGACATTTTGCACTATCCGGTGCCGAACAAAAACTGCGTCGTCGGCGACGAACTGCAGAGGGACATCGTTCACGTGATGGAGAAAATCTTGCATTTGTTGGTGGTCACGTTGCGTGCGATGAAAACTCTCAACGGCCACAGTTTGGCAGGAACGTCGATTAACAAATACCTGGAATGCTGCATGTTGATCTCCGGCAACTCGACGTTCATGGCCGACCAGGTCGAAAAGATAACGGTTTTTTCAAAACTGTTGAAAAATAAAGTCGTCAATTCGCGAAGAGATTTCTACGTTTGATAAAAAGACACACTCGTTTTATGTTCATATATATATATATATTTAAATATTATGTATTTTATCGTTTTTTGATGTTTTTTTTTAAATCAAATATTATTTAACATTATGGTTTGTTTTTATGTTACATATAATATATTTAAATGTGATTTTTAAAATAATTTGTACAAAAAAAAAAAAAGTTCTAATTTATATAAAAATTTTAGTTTTCGTTATAAAATAGTATGTTTGATAAAAGACTCTGTAAATATTTACACATTATTTATATATTATATTTTAACTACTTTTAATAGACTGATATTGATGAATAATAAAATTTTATTTATTTATCTAAAATACGCTTTTACAATTATTTCAAATTTCCTGCAAAATTGGGGTTTATATCGAGGTATTTATGAAAACAAAATTTGGTGAATAAGATAAAAATATTATATGGTAAATACAATAATATAGATTGTAACTGTTATTAAACTGTGTTCAGTCAGTGATGGTAAAAAATTGTAATTTGACTTGTCGTCATCGACAGGTCGAAAGACTACCACGTAAATATGTGTTATTGATATGTAACGGGGGAAACGCTCTTGCGTATTAATTGGTAATAAGAAAAGGCAGTGTATACAATATATTTACTTAAAAAATTTAATAAATAAAATTGTTCGAATTAGATAGAACTTGATCTGCATTGTGAATTAAATTGACTGTGTTAATACAAAACAAACTTAGAATTTTTGAAATAATAAATTGTGTCAAAGAGATTTGTTTTACTTCGAACACACGAGGCGACTTACATCAAAATCTGATTTTTTTTTTTTAAATATTTGTTTTAATTGTCTCTCTTATTTTAGGACTATAATATTTGTATATTGTCGAAAATCATTAAGTTGGTTTTTAAGTGTTCAATCATATTGTTTATAATACAAACAAAACTATTGATAAACGGTTGTCGTGCGAAGCGTTAAAACACAAGATCGAGTAATTTAAAAACAATAAAAATTGAATTATATATTACAGACCAAAATGGGTTGAAAAAAAAAAATAAGAAAATAAATTCACATTATAAAGTATACCCAATGAATTGATGATATTTGTATTTATTTAGTTATTTTTTATGGCAATAACATTTTAATAAAAACAAGAAGAAAGTTGCGATCAAAGAAGATGTGTACGAAAGATAGTTACGTACATTATATTATATAATTCATATAATAATTCATAATTGTAATATTGTGTTTTATTTGTTAGATTATACTTACCTGTTTAAATAATCAAGTGCTCTAATTGTAATTGAGTATCTAATAATAAAAAAAAAAATAATAATAACCAATTATTTATAGGCAACATAATAATTATGGGTTTGACCGAGCTAAGGTATAGAGATTTTACAATGTTAAGTATTTAGCATTTGTTTTACCTTTCACAATTAACGATTGAGTTCACTAATTTAAATAATAATAAAAAACTACGTGTTTAAATATATTTGTATTAGGATTAAAAGTAACGATCGGTTTTATTTTTAATACTTGTACATTTAAAAACGTTTGAGGGAATAAAATGTATGTATAATAGGTAAGTTTTTAAATTAATAACATTTTACTAATTAGTAGTATTTCTACTCACTATTATTTAAAGTTCTTTAAAATACCGTTGTTCTTCGCTGTTTAGGTTTTTTTTTTATTTGAAACGTTTTCTATTATTCATTTAACTATTAATTTAATGTATGTGTATATTTAAAGAAATACATCGACCTCGGCAATAGTGGGTTTTATTTTAACAAAATATTAGCAAATAAATAGGAATTTTTTTTATATATTAATAGAAATTCGTAGATATTCACTATTTAAACAATAAAATAATGGCGGCAATTATCGAATCAAACATAATTTGATAAGAAAATGGTGATAACACGAGGTAGAGATGATAACAACTTTCCTACATTGTGAGTGATAACAAAACTGGAAAAGTGATAACGGGTGTTGTTGGAATTTTGCATAAAGCATTTGGAAATTATTATACTAAATAATAAATTGCCCCTCTCTGTTTACTGTTTAGCACTTAAGTCTTTACATATAAATTAAAAAAATGCAACGCCAGTGTTCACGCTTCTTTGTCGTTTGATTTGATTTTAAGTTTTAACAGAATTTATGTTAAATTACATTGTAAATATGAGTTTGCTCGTTTGGTCCATTCTCATTAGTTTTAGTAACGTGTTATTGTTCAAATACATTCCAAAGGTAAATATATAATGTTATCATATTGATCTGCGACGATTATTTGGCTTTATTACTTTTATTCGGGTTAGATCGTCGGCACAACAAAATTCTGATCTGGACTACCTTCGATAAATAAAAAGACATACATAACCTGTTGAAATCGAATTAGGTTATAATCTAGTACAGGATATTATGTTAATTAGATTTACTATTTGAATAAGTTATACATTGTTTATATTTGCGTGTCGATTGTATTATCAAAATGGAATTCCCGAAAGCGCATTGCGTCGATTCTGTTTTACATTTATGTAATTTTACTTGTTTTCCAGATAGTTTCCATGTTGTTGGATAACAATTCAAATAACTGTCAGTTGACGGCAGCTATTTCATCATTACAAAAAGAACAAGACGAAATTTCCATAGTTCGTGAATTCGCCAAACACGCGAAATTACAACGAAAAATCAATAAACTCACGGAAGAGTTGAAAAGCCAAGGTAAGTTTGTAGTGAAAATCAAAAATCCAAATGTATTTTATTTAATAAAAAAAATTGCGTTTCCAATTTTTAGTGAGAAACAATATGACTAAAAAATTCAAGATGAAGTTTATTTGCAACATATTGTTGTACGTCCTATCCGTGAGTATGATTTCATAACACAAGTAGTCGCGATAAACCAAACGCAACGATTTATTAATTTTTTTTTTCCAGGGCGTTTCTAACGTTTTGTTCGTGAGCTACAACTATAGACGAGCCGTGGTGAGCGAGTTGCCAGATTGGTTTTCACCGGTGTCGTGGTTGATACAATGGCCTCTGACCGAAGCGGGAACGATGAGCTTCTTTTTCTGGTTCGGCGTGACCAACTGCGTGGCCAGACTCGCCACGAACAGTGTACTGTTATGAGTACGTGCACAACTTGACAAAAGCAACAACAATAGGGTGGTGACGGCATCGGTATCCGTCTGGGGGAAAAAAAACATGTTATATTGCCAAGAAATTTGTCGATAGTTTTGATATCACGTTTGAGCATGTAATTGAAAATCACCGGGAATAGTTTCTCGTGTTGAAACAAAATGTTGTAAATAATGTTTTCGAATCGTATTTTATCTGTCGCAAAAAAAAACTACACTAAAATATACTCCGAAAGTATTAACGCGACTTTTTGACGATTCGAAAACTTTGATTAAACTTTTTTTTCTGCATGTTCAATTTTGTAAATTTTGTAAATAGTAATTTAAATTTTGTTGTTTAGTACAAAATATTTTGTATATTACTAAGTTGTTAACACGTCCGTTGGCGCAAAAAAAAAACCTCATAAAAGTTTTTTATTTTTCACATTTTATTCCACAATGAAGAGATAGCATTTATAGATCATTTTCATCAATCTTAGGTGATTTTTTTCCTCAAAGTATACCGAAACTTTAGAATCGTTAACTTGGTGATGTTTTTTTTTGTGTCGACGACGATTGTATAACGTCGTTGGCTATACCGATCTGAAGTGAACACTGCTTTCGATTATTGTAACTATAATAGTATATTATTAACTGTTTTCTTTTTTTTTTTTTATAATAAATCAATTGGTTATTATTGTTGTTGTCTATAATATTGTTGTTACGCATTGTTTTCATGTATAATCATAGTACGCATTATACGAATGTCAGTCTATTTAATGTTCTGTTACGTCTTAAGCGAACCAGCTACTAAATAAATTTTAACATAAGCAAGTTTAAAATTCAGTTTTAAATACAAACCGAACTAACATTAAGTATTTTCTTCTAGAAAGTGTCTATATTAGTTTTTTATTCAAACGCTAAAAATAAATAACTTAAGATTTTTGAAAACATAAACTGTTACGTCGTTTACAGTTTTAAATAAACTCGTTATCTTAAAAGTGTTCAAAAATATGTAACTGATATACTTAACTTATTACATTTTAGGTTACTGTTGAGTCTTGCGTTATGTTATCCGTAAAATTGTATTCGAGCCTACGCGATAAACTGTACACGACATTATTTTAAGAAAGCTCGAATTGATTTATCGTACAACGAAATGATCGTCCGAGTTACTTACGACAGAAATAATTGTTGTGAACTTCTTATTATTTGAATATTATTCGTAATAATATTATTATACTTTGTGAAAATTGTACACAATTAACCACATTTTAGCCATAGTGTCCTATGTGGTTTTTAAATTTTACGTGTAATAGTGTATCGAAAGGGTTAACGAAGCTAATTTCTTTATCGGAATGGATACGATCGTGGTTGATCATAACTTTTTACATTTTTTTGCCTAGTAAACTACCTTTCGGGTACGATTACGCAGCTAACTGAAAAACAAAATATGTAAAACAACTAATACTAATATCAACAAAATAACTTGACTTTTTCACCCCTAGAACGGTATTGATTATTATTTATTACTATTTCGGGGTAAATCTATTTTTCTGAGATGTTTGTCTTGGATTTTCATTTGTTGTTGTTGGCAATGCTAGCAATATTAGTTCAATAACGTTTTTTTTTTTTACATTATTTATTTCTACTCACTATTTAAAGTTCTTTAAAATACCGTTGTTCTTCGCTGTTTAGGTTTTTTTTTTTATTTGAAACGTTTTCTATTATTCGTTACGCTATTAATTTAACGTAAATGTATATTTAAAGAAATAGATCGACCTCGGCAATAGTGGGTTTTTATTTTAACAAAATATTAGCAAATAAATAGGAATTTTTTTTATATATTAATAGAAATTCGTAGATATTCACTATTTAAACAATAAAATAATTGCGGCAATTATCGAATCAAACATAATTTTGATAAGAAAATGGTGATAACATGACGTAGAGATGATAACAACTTTCCTTGATTGTGAGTGATAATAAAACTGGAAAAGTGATAATGGGTGTTGTTGGAATTTCGCTTAAAGCATTTGAAAATTAACATACTAAATAGTAAATTGCCCCTCTCTGTTTACTATTTAGCACTTAAGTCATTACATATAAATTCAAAAAATGCGACACCAATTCTCACTATTTTTTTCCGTTTGATTTGATTTTAAGTTTTAACAGTTGGTTAATTAAGACATAGTCTTGGCTGGGAATAAAACCGATTGGATTTTGAAACAAAATAACTTGACTTTTTTACCACTAGAACGGTACTATTGTTTATTATTTATTACTATTTCGGGGTAAATCTATTTTTTCAGATGTTTGCCTTGGATTTTCATTTGTTGTTGTTGGCAATGCTAGCAATATTATTTCAATAACGTTTTTTTTTTTTTTTACATTTAATCATATTATCCAATAACCAACACAATAGGTATGCCCTGCCTTCGGAAATGGCAATGTTGTATTATTATACAAGTACTAATTAAAATGTATGTTATACCGCATCATGATCAGGTGTATTGAGGTGTTGTTTTTTTTTCATGAAACTTGTTTTGCCTGCAAGTTGTGTTCTAATTTATTTATTTTTTTGTAATTTTTATATGGGTTTTCAAATTTAATGTGGCTGTTATTATCTGCACCTCGACTATTGTGTGTGTGTGTGTGTGGGTTGTGAGATGACTACATATTGTGTGTAGTTAGTTATGTGTATTTGAATTATTAATACATTATCAACATTTACCCTTGGTTGTGGTTGGTTTTGAACGGTGTAAAACATAATCGACATTGTATTTTTTTTTTGCATATATTTGCCCCAAGACAAAAACTCCTACGGTCGTTGTATTGTTTTTGGTGGGTCATCTTTGTACCTGCATTGCAATTAAAATCGTCCTCGGTCCACATTTATATAATATGGGCGTGATGTTCGATTATCTACATTTAGTTTTTAGCTTTAACTCATCCTGGTTTATATACAGGGTGTTCCAGCATGAAAGGTAAGTAATAGGTGACTGGATATCTGGGGGACCGCCAAATAAACCCCCCCGTTTTTTATTTTTTCGATAAAATTGAAAATTTCGACAGTTAAGTAAAAATATAATGACTTAAAAAAACAAAAAATTATTCCATGTTATTCAGTGCAAAAAGCTCACCTTAAAAGAGGGGTCACATCGTTTTCAGTCCCTTTCGGCCCCTAACTAAAAAAATGATAAGAGAAAAATGATTAGAATAAATGATAAGTGATAAAAGATAAATGCTAAGACATAATCACAGATATATATAATAAACTAGATTGCTAACTAGCGATAAGAATTGAAGCCGACGGTCCGCCATTCTGGTGGGATTTATGGGTGTTATCAATGCAAATAATATATATCTGTACATATTATTCTATCAATATTATATATAGATATATATGTGATTGTTATAAACATATATTATTCTCGCGTGATAAGGTTCTAATTCCCACCGAAATGGCGGAAAGTGGCTGCTTCAAACTTCTCTATTGGTGGCATGTACAGTTAGCAATCTAGTTTATTATATATATCTATGGACATAATTGACAAGAGATAGGAGCTAAATGATAAGAGATTAGAGATAAATATTTAGAAACAAGAGATAATATATTAGTGATAAGAGATAAATGATTAGAGACTAGAGGTAAGAAATAAATGATAAGAGCAGAGTTAGAGGCTGAAAAAGACTGATCTTGAGCATTTTAAAGTTCTACGTTAACCAGTCGTAGGTTATTATTATTACTATCGTATGGTATATAAGTACAAGCAAGCAAATAAAATTAGTAATATTAAAATTAAATAACATGAATAGTTTTTGGTAACTGTAGATTGAGTCATAGGTAAAATACACACACACAGACTAGTTAGAAACTTCAATAAAAAAACAAAATTAATAAATTATCCTATTAAACGCTGTCTCCTAGTGTTGATTGATAAATTACAAAAAAAAAAAAAACCAGCACATACCCAGATTGTACCTTTAGAGATAAAGGTAATATAATTAATAATAATCTTTAGTCTTAGATTTAGGTACCCCCTATTAAGATATTGGCGTCTAATGTAATTGTTTTGATTTACAATATTGGCTAATCGAAATGACCAAATTATAGCCCGACCTTATTACACATTTTTAATTGAATTTAACGACTGGATTTAATGTGCCCTTATGGTTTTACGATTTAAATGCTCTATTTGTGTAATTGCCAATTAAGCAACTATAGAAACATGTATAATATATACTCTATTAGGTACCTAGTCAAATAGCATCAGGCGATTGGGTGTAAACTAATTGAAAATCATAATATTATATTTGTCAATTAAAATGATATTCAATCGTTATTTAAACTTGCCATCTCTGCATGATTCTCTATTCCCGTTCTGTGTGCTGTTGTAGTATTAAACTGGGTACAGTTATATATAGACACACTTATTTGTGTTACCCAACGCGACACATTTTACCGGTTGTTAGGTTATTACAAGGTTAATGCATAAGAGGCTGGAGACATTTTATTAACCGTGTACAGTCCAAACTAAATACAGCATAAAAATCAGAGGTTATAGCAAAGTTCGGTCAAAGCAGCTGTTAAATCTGAATGTGATTTTATATCAGTTCAAACCAGCAGAATAGTTTAAGAAAATGCTTAGATATGCTAATCTGTGGACCCCACTATGGTCATTTCTTACTGTGCAGGTTTATACTTTATACACTGTGCTTGTTTAGGCAGTACTTGGTTTGGACTATACTGGTTTAAACTATACTTGGTTTAGACTGTAGGTAGTTTATACTGTACTGGTGTCAACTGTACTTGGGTTGGACTGTATTGATATAGACTGCAACTTGATTTAGACTGTACTTGGTTAATACCTTACTAGGTATAGGTTCTACTATAGGTTCCATATTACATATAATTCATCTCTAAGCTTGAATAGTTACTATATTATCTCAATTACTCAGTTATGTGCACTTCAAGGGCCAAAATAGCTATTAAACGGGCTCGGAAAGAACCCATTTGTTAAGGGGCAAAATATAGGCAATATTTGACGACAATCATTTGAAAACATACTATACAGACTTATAAATGTAAATAATTGTTTAAGTAGCTTAATATACAATTTCGATATAAACAGTATTTTTTTATTAGCTAGTTTTGGGTTGTTTTCATGTTAAATATTTAATAAAAAATATGAATTAAAAAAAAAAATAATAAATTAGCGGGAAAAATTGAACGATACAATTTTGTGTCTTTGCATTTGACTGAAACAGACTTGAACACATACTTTGAAATTGCCTATAATAGGTATTTGAAGTTTATTCAAGTTTTTCGGTAAGTCTTATTCTTACAGAACGACTTGAAATCAACGAAGACCGTGTGATAATAATTCAATCATCGACCAATTTGAATTCATTATTCATTTTCAACAGATAACAACAACTAAAAACACATATGATCATATTATTTAAAAAAAAAAACTAAGCTTTACTTTACTAACCTAATGTTTGTAAAATGCATTCTAGAGAATTTAAATTGAGAGAAAAAGGAACTCCTAACTTAAACGTACTTGATTTCTAATTTAATTTGTGTCTTGTTAAAAACGTGTTTAATTTAATAATATTTGAACATATTTTCTCCATCTACCAGTACTTGGCTTGTGTAAGTCAATGATCAATCATCTATGATTGATGAGTGAGTTCAAAGGTATCTACTACCTGGGTCTAAAATGATATATGTCTAATATTATAATATAACATTAATAAAAAAAAAATTATTGATGTGTTACTAGTGCTATTGTAATACTATATTAAACATGTATATGCAATTTTGCTAAAATCTAGCAAGACAACTAGTGTGTTATTTGTTTTAATCATGTTTCTAGTTATTAAACCAACTACTATATATATAGTTAGAGTGAAATGAACCCCAACCGTTATTTTAAATTGTTCATCAAAGTGTATTATTTTGGTGTTTAACGGTTTAACTGTGTTCCATGTGTTTACCGTGTCAGGTGTCTCATATTGTTCACTGTATATATTATACACTTTGAATTAGCTTAGATGATTTGGCATATATATAGACAGAATACTTATGGTCGATTTTGAACTATCATCGTGGATTTATGTCATTCCTTTCTCTATGTGTGCAAAGTTTGGACGGTGTCGCAAATGAAGACTTCGGGTAATACATGCAACACAATCTAACAATAAGATCCATACGATCCTATAATTATGCAATCCTATAATATATGCACATAGGCATCGGTTTTCAAAATAAAATCCACCTAATAACGTCGAGAGAATATTTTTACACACCTCGTAACTGTTTAATGTATTTTGCATAAAGGATGTTTTCTATAAAAAAAAAAAAAAATATATATATATATTGTGATTCACAAAAATATAATATACTTTTATCATTGACAAAGATATCTAGTGAAATTCGTTTGGATGGATTTTATTTGGAACTAACATTATATATTGAATGAACAATATTATATGATGATAATCCATTTTGTTTTCTTCAAAAAAAAAAAAAAAATATAAAAGTATATTTACTTACTTGTATCTCATGTGTTACACGGTACGGTGCATTATTGTATTATTATTTTGCTGTTATGTAAGTTTGAAAAGTTTAGAAAAACATGTTTGTATTTATTCATTTTTAAAATACAATCATTTTCTGTAAATATTCTCATGAACGTTCTTTTCATGATGTATACATTATGTTATGTTTATTATGCGTTACTGTATATTATTATAATAATAATAAAATAAAATATACAGTTAAAAAAAAAAAAAAATATATATATATATATATATTTACTGTTTGCACAATACCAATGTTGAGATTTTTAATGATATGAATGAAAAAACTAGTGTTTAAAATTTTAAATATATATTTTGATGAAATTAATCGAATAACTGTTACTATTTTCTGGCCGTTATACGATTTGAGTACAACTATTGTTATACTTAAAATGTTATATATTTTTTTCACTATAGTCATTAAGAATTTCATTGGTCTTAAACGTATGTTGTTATGTCATTAGTATATAAATTGTACACAATAATAGTGCAGATAAACAAGGTAATGTTTTTCACTAGTCATTTTTTAATCAATTATTTGCTCGACGAAGTCTTAACGTGTAAAGCTATTAAATTTCAATTACATTCGCGCGAAAGTTAAATTATTAAATGTATATTAGTAAAGTTATATTAGCAGTGGTTAAATGTATTATGTAGTTTTTGGTGCACATGCCCGTTGAGAGTGTAAGAACACAACTAAAAGTTATTTTTCTACAATTTGGCAATGTATTTGGAAGAAAAAAAAAACGTTTAAAAATTCACTGTGAAAATATAAATTAAGATTTTTGTTGTAAAAACAATACTCTAATCTTAACTAATTGGGTTTGACGCAAATTAGCTTTGAAAACCAACAGTGTGATCATTAATTTTCTCGATAAAGATTCTAAGTGGGTTTTTAGTGCTGATTGGGCCAAACTTTTTACTAGTGTTCTCCACTGGAGGTTTAAGCACAATATATACTTATAAATTATAACTATGGTGGTCTATGAAAGTATCTATTCAGTGAAGATTTAATATAGTACACAATTTAATTAATATCAGAAAAATAATTCTAGTGTAGATTAAAATAAACACATGAACTAACATGATATATTATAATTTATTTATATATATGTTTATATACATATACAGTAACAATTTTAAATCGAGAATAATATACTAAAACCGTTGACTGGTTTTAGTTGACTATTTTTTAAGTTATTGAAGTTTCAAGTTAAGGGCAGTTAACTTTAACTCTATGAGACCATTGCTTGTGTATTTTAAGTAAATAATTTTTCTAACCCCCCCCCCCCTTTTCATTCATAGAATAGTTTATTCTATAATTTATAGAAAAAGTTACATACATATACATTGTTTAATTTTTTCACTGCATTTTAATTTTTCACAATAAGCTGATTTTATTTGTAGGTACAGTTTACCTTGTCTCGGTACGATCAATAAATCAATAAAATATGGTGAAAAAATTAAAAATAATATCGGCTGAACCGTTTTCGAGTTGACTTGACAGCTCTTTTTTTTTAATATGATTATTTTGTCATCTGAAAACAACGTTTGTCGAGATATTTTGTGTTTGTAAACTTGCTTGTAAAAATAACAAGTATTTAGCAGTGGCGTACATTCAATCTTGTTCTGGGGGGGGGGAGGGTAAAAAAAATAACACTACCTAACCAGATATTTCAAAATGATAAGCAATTTTTTTCCAACAAATTAAGTGATTTGTTGGAATATTTTTCCGAAAAAAAACTCGATAGTTCGATTTTAAGAAAAAACGAAATTCCTGGACTTATAGTTCCGAAGATATTTTAACTCTTGCTTAGATGTCCGCCATTCCACCACCTTCTCCTAATTTAAAAGTACAAAATGACATTTTATATTTTTATCTTTGATAAAATTGTTAACTCCAAATTAAATACTTTGAAAAAATAATTTTTATTTTTACTTATACATTTTGTGTTTATTTAGACTATTTTGAACTGGGAGAAAAAACGTTTTCGAATACGGTTTGAAAAAACGTTTCTTTACATTTTCTTTACACGAATAAAATTTCGGAAATTTCTTTTTGCCCATCTCTGATAATATATTAATAAAAATTAATAATCACAATAGTTAATATTGTGTTATCAGTTATGTGTACATCTTCTTAAATAGTTTACAGTAAACTTTTGTTTATACTATTAAATGCTCACACGCATATCTATTCTTATATTAAACATACGAATTTACAATCATTTTATATATTTTATTTATTTTTCTAGCTAAATAGCTAGAAAAAATAAAACAAATATGTTCAATATCAGAATAGGTATGCGTGTGAGCATTTAATAGTATAAACAAAAGTCAAAACTGTACAAAACACTTAACAATTAAAATATAATTATTAAATTATTATTTATTACATTTATTTACTTCATAGAAGTAACATTGCAACAATTATACAATAAAAACCTATAATATATCACTTTTTCACAGTTTTTTTCTCGGCTCTGGGGGGGGGGAGGGGTTTGAACCCTAAAACCCCCGCACGTAAGTACACGCCACTGTAGGTGTATAAATTATAACTTGTGAACTCATATGCATATTCTCGTGAAACAGATATCAAATTTTTCTGTGAAAGTATGGCCAGAAATGTTGTGACGCTTAAGAGTTGCATTTTTTTTTAATAGCTATCTACACAGATATATTCCATAACGCGTGCCCGACCGATTAGAAGAGGTAGGTGGCGCTGGTACTGCCGAAGGAGGCCTTGCCGCCAAAACCGGTGTTCCTACCGTGTAAAAGTAGACTTGTCAGTTGGTCGGCCACAACACAGTCGGTCGGTACTGGTGTGTGTGTTTTTTTTAAAAATTATTTTTCGCCCAAAACCGTGTGTCGTGTATCGAATGTTTGTATTTTCTCGGCGCCCAAAAGATTTGCCAAAGCACAAACCCGAGCAATGGGTTAGGTAGATACGGGAAATAATCTGGAAAAAAAAAAAAGTGCGCTGTTGTGCGCGAGTGCTGCGCGTTTCGATAAGCGTGTGCCATGCGAAACGGCAAAGGAAATATTAATTATAATATCCGTCGGATTCGTGTAAATTAATAGTGTTTTTTTTTTTTGTATACATCTTAAGAGTTGACCGCAATGGATACGAGACAACACCGACGACCTTAAGATGCAACTCGCGTGCGGCCTTTGGTGCGGAGCCTTCGTCTTGTTAGCCGTGTCCGCCGTTGCCGCTGCACAACTCCTTAAAGGTGAGTGTTTTCAATTCCATCTTTAATTTCGATGATTTCACATTTAATCGGAATTCGACGAGGCAAAATTGCACAAGACGTACGTTTGTACTGCCCCCCCCTCATTGAAATCCAAAATATAACACATACTGTATACTATTGTTTCAATGGGTAACGATCAATAGTCATAAATTATAAAAAAAAAAAAAACATTACATTGTTTTCCAGTGACGAAATATCTATTAGTTGACAAATTGATTGATTTCCTTGACAAATTCTTGGGTACGCCGTTTTTTTGGTTTAAGCACTTGAAGGTCTACATAATATGGTTGTCGTTTAAACTTTTGTTGCCAACACTGCGGTTGGTAAAAATGTATACTTTATAGACGTCGACTGTTATAGGGACAAAGGTCTTAAGGGTTTCGGCCGTTCCCAAATGTCTGCGGGCATTAAAAATATTCAATTAAACTTTTACACGTCTCCTCGAAAAATCATTCTGGTTAATGATTTAAAGTGCACGGTGGTTCTCAGTGTCTATTCGCTGATTTAGTAGAGCGTTTATTTTTTCTTGCGAAATTCACCGTCCGGTTTTCTGCGGTTCTTCCGAGATTTTTGAAATGGTAAGAATTGAACGCATTCAAGCAGGCTGGAGTTGTATGCTGGAGTTGTATTTCTTGGTTCCCGAGTCTCCCTTTTTTTCCATTGAACTCATCTCTGTTCAATCTCGAACCGCCACCGAACCAAATACCGACTGTACATTTTTACTGACGAGTTTCAAAGGCTATTAAACTCTGGGCCCATTTTGTTGTCGTTGCTCACGATTTTCCTAAAGAAACCGGACAGACTCGTGGACGTGCTGCGCCGCCGTCGTCTATTGATACACATTCACCGTGGGAGTAACGGTCGGCGAGATCTATTTAAGGTGTACATCGTTTGTGTGTACAATAATAGACCAACTGTACACAATGATGGCACTACGGTGTTTGGACTAGAAAGACCGGACACGTCAAGACGGAATCGGATTTTCGCAAAGAATATAACAAAAAAAAAAAAAATAAAATGCATTAAGAACTGTTAAGTCAGCGCACGACAAGCGTGTGTGTGTGTGTGGACTCTGTGTCGAGTAAATAGAGATTCTCTTGGAAAACCTTGCACGGCCTTCTTCTGGTCACGGGATAACGGAAAGAATGGTCGGTTCTATTTTATACACAAATAACATCATATCTGCTATGGGTATTATTATTATTATATGCAAAACGACCGACGTGCCTGGCCGTACGCTATACTTACCTTCACAATCGAGCCGTTTTAAATTAGATGCAAAGTGCAGCAGCAGCAGCAGCAGCAGGTATTGTGTGTACCCTGAATCGGTTTTATATGTTGTACGCGCACGTTCGAATAAGGAAACATTCTTGGACGAGCCGACTCTCCGGCCCTCGGTTTGCTGTGATGTATAAAATATATTGTAATATGGTAAATCTTCGCCGAGGCGATAAAGCTGTGTGTCGCAGATGGGTAGGTGCCGAAAGAAGAATAGCAGCATCTCGAAGAGATAGACCGTGCCGGCCACGATCAAAGAGAGATCATTTGTGCACTTTCTCGCGTGCATGCACAAGACAACGACGTTCTTATACGAAGACATTAGTGCTATTATTATTATTATTATTATTATAATTACACCCAAGCGATGTCGTCGAACGACGGCCGATACAAAAAGCGAAACAGCGGGAATTCGCGCACATTATACCTAATACTAATATGATAAACACTAACATGATGGCCTATGACTGTGTTGGTATATGATATTTTTTTTTTATTCGCCGACATAATTATTGTGCTAATGGCCATTGTTAAAATTCCACGTATCCACTTCTAACCGTCACCTGCCCGTACTTACCGTACAGCGGCGTGTCTATTGTTTAAGTATTCCTCCTACATTATCTCCTCTACTATATAGTGCACCACCGGTGCGGTACCCTTGACCAAAATGAATTGCATATAGAGCTATCGTCGGAAATCAAGTGACTGTAGTAATTATTATTGCTATCGAACGACATTATTCAAGTCGAACGCCGTTCCTTCGCAAGGATACCGCGTTAGAATATAGATTGGCTAGCATATGCAATGGTTCAAACCCGTAATAATTCCAGGATCCTCTGGAGGAGAACGCATAACGTTTGTCATTGGGTAATTGATCGTTATTTATCTATCGTCAGACTGCCAGACTCCTCTACATCTGCGACGATCCGCGAAATTGTGTAACCGGAAAAACTCCTCGTTTTGGTAACAATATTAAGAATACAATCGTCGAAGCGATGCGTTTTAGTCGTCCAATTATTTAAGAAACCGTCAGTAATTTGTGTCTTGCTGCGAACACTGTTGGTATGGGCAAGTAGCGAAGAAGATGACGGGGATAGATAAGCTTGAGGAGTCGAGTGACAGGTGGTGGTCGATTGCAATCGAGATCAGGATAAAGCTATGAGTTCTCTAGTAATTGATTTTTGAACGAAAACGGCGTGATTGAATATAGGGCGAACTGCATTGTATATGTCTTCCGACTGTCTGTCTGTGTATGATGCATCGAGGTTAATTATTGCAATAGGCTTCTGTATTTTTCTTTATACACACATTTACTTGCACCCAAGACAAAAACCACTCTTCCATGACCCGTACCCGGAGGCTAAGCATGTCTTGACGCCCCGTATTAAATATGCATAAATACGTTGATGTTTCAATTCGGTTCATTGTTTTTTCATTATGAAGTTCACACAAACAAACCCGGTCAGCGATCGAAAAACAAAAAAAAAATAAATAAACGTTTCTACAACAATATTCGTACTTGTACTTGGTTGGAATATATTTTTTCAATTACACATTGGCATGACAATCTTAAAAGCCCGTCTACAAGTCAACACGCACAAGAGCAGCACTGTTGTTGTTTCGTTAAAATGCCCAATCATCTTGTCGAAAATCATTTATCTCGTTTATTGATCTTTGTTTTTGTTGTACTAACCTATGTATAACGTTGTCACTACCACCGCCGGAGGTCTGTATCGCGATCGATATTCCCATGATGAATGAAAAGCCAATTGGATACAAAACTTGCGAAACGCCTTATGTATCGAGGCTAATGGTCTCCTCGGCTCGATTGTGTTGCAACATAATAGAGCGTGGAGCACAGGCAGCTATGCTCTTCATGGTAGTAGAAAATATAATAATAATAATAATACACCTAACAGTATATAGAAGCAACAATAACACAACAAGCACAATAAGCCAAATGGCAGCCAGAGATACTTTTACACGTGGCCGCGGGCCGTTGAATCTTCCCGGCTCATCCGTGATTACTTTCCTTTGTGTAAAATATTGTCCTTATTTATGACGATATTGTCAATATAATAATAATTACATCACCTCCGGGTTTGACGGTACACGTATGCACGCAGGTACAAAACTACAAGACGCGTGAGCAGCAGCCCTTGTACGTTCAAAATTATTATACACACGCCTATATGTGTATGGTTTTTTATTTTTCAGTCTTAACGAACCTCGACGACGGCTGCGGGTATAATATATTGCCATGGTTAGGTTTTTGATTAACGCCGACCAGCCGCCATAGGTGTTATTAAACACGTTTTGGAGATAATCAAATTATATGTTGTTATTATTATTACGAGCTCCTCGCATCGGGAATTTCGGCGGAACAATAGGCACGAAGGTGAAATTAGCGGAATTCGATTCGATTTGGACGGAATGACATATTACACGGATATTTACACTTCTCAAGGTGATCGTCGAACTAACGCGTTAAGTCCGGAGTGCTACGGTGTGGTGTTTCACGTTGAATTGTATGAATTGCCACTCCTCAATGACACTAATGTACCGCAGATGTAGCTATTGACATCTAACAACACGGTTGTGCCCAACCGCTTGTGATAAAGCGACCGCCAAAGTCGGCTAGCGTTCCAAGCGGACAACGTTTTCAACTATGTTTACACGAATTTTGATTGGTCGCAATTGGTTGTTATCTTGAATCGCGGATAGGGGCGCTAGCGGTCAATGGAAACAGCTGTTTTTTTTTTTGTTTGGTGCACTTCGTCGTTAACTTAAAACTGAAACCCTCCCGTGACTCGGTGTGACCACAGACAATCGCGGGTATATGAATATATCTATATATAGAACATAACGGACGTCTTCTAATGGTCGTCGTTGGTCTGGTACGAATGACGGCGGCTAATGGAATTGTACGAAAAATAACGGTCCGAATGTTTGTGTAAAATCATCGGTCGAATTAGTCAAAGCGAACCAAAAGTAAAAAAAAATGTATACTTCTTCTTCGTTTTTGGTTTTCTCCAATACCTAATTTCTCTCGCTGTGTGGTTAATTAAGAGGCAAAAAAAAAAACCCCCACAGTAACGGTTTGTACATCTAAACGGGGTTCATCATTCTCGTCCTATACAGAGATTTCGTTTGGCCGATTCGTGTGCGGTGAATTCATAGTACAAATACTGTTTGCTTTAGATACCGTAACGTATTCAAATAAGGTAGAGGAAAAAAAAGGGGCTAAAAAACTATCCACGGCGTAGCGTTACATCGTGTGATCGTGTGAACTACAACTTCACGATCACGATCGGATTATAGTGTTTCGATTCAGTTAGCCAAGTCGATGCAGACTATACAGAGTGATCGTTTTATCGCGAGCTTTATTATTTCATACCGTTTTTTATGTAATATGTGATGTAAATTTTCCACAAATTTCGATGTTCTTATCCCCCCCCCCATCTCTAAAACTGATAATTTTGTTCACAACTATCGACACTCGAATGGTACAAATGATCCTTCTGTGTTGAAAAGCGTGGTCGAATACATTTTTAACAAGAATCTGTAATGTTATCAATTATTTGTTATCAATAATTCTTATCAGTTTACAAGTAAACAGCGTGTACAATATTTTCGGCGCTATCATTTTTGCCCCACTCCGTTAAGTTTAAACCAATCAAAAATCGTTTTTTTTTAAATCT